GAACAGTCAAAACAATGGACCAAAGTGGCTTGATGGCTATTTTGAGGAGCTCGACGATTCCCACTATAAACAGGGTATCGAAGCTATTGAACATCGCTGGGAAAAGTGTATTGAGCTAAAAGGAGACTATGTAGAGAAATAAAGATATTTTTTCCCAAATTTTTTGTGTTTTCTTTGTTAGGTCAGGTACTTCTGGGACTACCTTCGTACCGATATTTTCGACCTAATGATAGATAAAACGTCAATGTCGTGCGCTGTTCGCACGAGCTATGGATAAACGTCATTTAATTAACCGACAGTTCTGCGGTATCGCGCCACGATGGAAGATCCGTCGTTATTAAAATCTAGTCTTTGAAATGCGACAAGTATGTAACGATATTTGAGCTGACCGGGGCTCGACGTGCGTTTCCGTGCTGGGACTAGCCGTCATTGAGAATATCCTCGACATCTCCGTCGTGCATCCGGGATATCAGACAGCACTGTCGAACATGCCTGTTCAGAGAATGTCGGATTTTGCACCCGGCAAAGTATGGGCGTGCTTTAAAAGTCCACCCCCGGCCTGATTTACCAACATCGTGACGATTGTGCTTCTCGGAGTCGATGACACCGTTATGATGTGGAGACGACATATAAACAAGCGACTGAAAGCCGCGCAGGGAGTGGCTCGCTTCACAAACAAGTGTTACAATTACAATTTGAAAAGAAATGCCAATAATCTCGTAGCGTTTCCGGATTCATCTACCAAAAGCGTGAGAGGTCAACGCTTGCTGTTATCAGGTAAGAACAGGATTGAAACATTGTGCTGAACAATGTTGAACAATGACGGCTCGAGGTAAGTTTCTTTCAGCAAATTTTTCCGGAATTCGGTGGTTATCGCGGCTCGTCTTTAGGTCACGTGCACGACTGAGTCCATCGGAGATTAGAAGATCTCGGGGTTAGGGATTGAAGTTAACTAAAGGCGATTCTCAAAAAAAAAAGGATATCGCGCACGAACAGGATTATCAAGGTTGCAAGTAAAAATTTCAAGTAAAAATACCACGCAAAGTGGGACGACAGACCGAACGTTTCCTCAGGCCGTTGGTGTGGTTTCACCTGTGGCTGAACAAAGCACTCACGTACGTTGCACTTGACTTATTACGTCTTGGGCCTCGGGTGATTGTTTTATATCGTTGGCATTAGCAACACGCGATTCTGCGCACGCAATCAACCTCAACGTCAAATTTATGATATTATTGGGCGTTTAAATTTTACGGTATTTAATTTCTTTAGCAACAATAAAATTCGCACCGCTAAAATGTGCATCTTTTTTTTGTACTAATTTATTCTGCTTTTAACTTTTTAATGACGGAGCTTTTCATAGTACAAATTCAGTAGGTTGCTCTGCATATAACGACACATCATATCCTCTGAATAAAACCGATGCCTCATCAGTGTGTTAGATCCTTTTTTATTTATAAAAAAATGAGACTGCGTAAATGTTACGAAATAATTATAAATATGCTATAAGTGAGTCGATTAAAATCAAGATGTAAGAGATCACACCGAACGAATGTTATGAAGCAATCGTTGGATAAATAAATAAATACTCTAACAGCTGACAAAGAAATGTGCAGAATTTATTCATACATTATTATTCTCAAGTGAACAATTTAGAATCAATTTTCGCATCAGCCATACTTGCGAAATAATCGCCCCTTCGCATCCTCTCTCCTTCCTGCTTAATTTAATCTTTATTATACGCATTGTCGTAGCATCCGCTCTATGTACTCATGATTTCACAGTCCCGATTTTTATCAGAACTTTACATATTCTTACGTGATGAGACTTTAGGAATCGATTGAGGAGCCCATTCAGAACTCAGTCTGAACTCAGCCGTTACACGACGGTGCAATAATCTTAGGGGCGTCGCGTAAGTAAGTATACACGAGGCCGGCCTTGCGGCTCGTGCGTCGCTTCGCGCGTGCACTCGGCGCGAGACACTTCCGTGTGCCCTTCGATATCCAGCCGCGTGTACGAGAGACGCAGGTATTAATTTAAGCAGAACCGACGAGTCCCGCGAGGGCCGGCGAGACTGCAATGAAAGAGAGAAGCCGATTCCAGTCGAGGGTGCTCACGACGGCACATTAGGGGGAGGGGGGCTAATTTAAAGAAAAGAAGGGCCAATAGGACGGCGGCGAAGGGAGAGTAAGCTGGTAAAAGTGGAGGCACAACGGTGTGAGAAGGAGAGAAAGACGATGGAAGAGAAATGGGAAAGAGAAAAACAGATAGGACGAGAGAAGGGGGAAAGGGGATGAGGACGAGCTCGGGATAGCCTGGAGAAGACACGAGAGATCGCGGAACGAAGCGAGAGCGGAGTAATCAATACGTATTCACACGCGGTGCCTGGCATTCCGTCGCCATGGTGACTGACGCTCACGCATGCGTTTGGTCCAGCAACGGCGTCGTGCCGACGAAACTGTCCCGAAATCAGCGATGTCAGAACGAAGACGCGCCCCCGAGAGCCGCGTACGCGAGAGAGCGAAGGTACCGTTTTCTGTCTTGTTCTTAGTGAGCCGGCAACGAAGGCAGGCGGCTTGCTCGCTTCTCGTTACGCGCGACAGCGTAAGATGTTTCTACGATTTCGTTCAAAACTAAATTTTCTATTTTGTTTTTTAATATTGTTATTTCTATTGTTTACCGTTGCAACGCTTATCTCCGAACCACTTTCCCAAACTTTCCCGAAGCCGAAGAGCGAAACGTACGTGTATGCGGCTCTCCGTTATGTGCGCGTTATCCTCGCCGCTACGGTTTATGCGGGGCCGCGTCTCCATTCTGGCATCACTGGCCGAAATCCGAGTCAGTCTCGCGCCAACCACCCCCTGTGCGCGCGTGACGCTCGCTAATGTCGACAAAACGGGGGTGGAGGGAGAGAGAAAGAGGGAGACAGAGAGAGCGTTCGGGATGTGTGTTCGGAGAGCACCCTTCCCAGTCGGATCGTCTCTCGAGTTAATTTTCCCTACGCCCCGCTTTGAGCGTAAAAAGGGTTGTATGAATCCGATACATTACTCGAGCAATTTACAATCTCCTTCTCGATGTCGCAACGCGAGACGCTCACAGTGAGAGGTGACGAGTCATCAACCTGATGATCGCGATCGTCGCGTTGGATCCCGGCGATCTTCCCCCGAGTAAAACTCATTATCGACAAACACCCCCGAAGGCCGTCTGGGCTTCGCTGGGAGAACAGAGTAGTCGGGGAAAAGCGGCGGTGACGGCACCGGTTTCCCGCACAAAGCTACCGTGAGAGGCGGAAAGAAAGGCTGTGTGTGTGAGAGAGAGAGAGAGAGAGAGGCTTAAAGATCTATCGTGTTCACGCTACTTTGATCGTTAGCGATCGTTTCTAAAGCGTAGTCAAGCAAACCGTGCCGGATAGTTCTCCCCCGACGACGGTCATCCTGGTCTCTATAGTCGCCGTCGGAGGGTTCAGCGCGGTAGCGCTCGACCGACGAATATATATTCAACGCTCCGGTCGTTCCCCGTCCTTCTTTCTCCCTGCCTTTCTCCATCCCTCTCTTTCTTCCCGTGAATACCGTGGGGATAACGGGGGTGGGGTGGAGGTTGTGAGGGGTTGCTCGCTGTCGGGGCGCCTGCGTCGAGTCCCCGATGACGACTCGGCTAGGTAGGTAGGTGCTCGACCCGGACGCAGTCGGGAGAAAACAAGCGGCAGGCAGCCTGCTGTTCTCGCGTAGCGCGCGCGGCTTTTTTCCACTCCGAGTTCGAGTTCCGGACGCGGACCGGACGGAAAGAAACAGAGATAGCGACAAAGGGAGAAAGGGAGAGAGAAAGCGTTCACCTGGACCGATCACGAAGTACGGATACCGAGAGAGTGAGGCTTGCCGTAGCTCCGGGTTCCCGGCAAGAACGAGGGAGAGAGCGAAAGCGAGCGAACGATAGAGAGAGAGAGAGAGAGAGAGAGAGAGAGAGAGAGAGAGAGAGAGAGAGAGAGAGAGAAAGATAGGGAGAAGCGAGACACGGCGACGACGTTATCCGGAGGTGGGACCGACCACCGCAGTATGAACGGTGATGGAACTCGCAGGACAGCGGATGCGACAGCGTGAAAAAAACTGACGTTCGATAGTTCGCCGTGCGACAAGTTCATTGAACCCTTTCGGGGACCTAGGGTCACTGCAGTTGATGCGCTCGGAGTTTTAGCGGCCAGGCGGTGCTGGCGAGGAACGAGAGGGTAGTTCGCGACGAACAGTTAGCGAGAAGATATCCTGTGTCGTACGCGCGTGTCCAGAGTTAGCTAGCCAGCCAGCCAGTGCACAGCTGGACCCTGGAATCGTGATCGATCTCCGGGAACGCATCGGGCGATCGTCCTCGTGAAAAGAGAGAGAGAGAGAGAGAGAGAGAGAGAGAGAGAGAGAGAGAGAGAGAGAGAGAGAGAGAGAGAGAGAGAGAGAGAGAGAGAGAGAGAGAGAGAGACAGGAAGATAGAGAAAGAAAGAGAGAGAGAGAGAGAGAGAGAGAGAGAGAGAGAGAGAGAGAGAGAGAGAGAGAGAGAGAGAGAGAGAGACAGCAAGATAGAGAAAGAAAGGGAGGGAGAGAGAGAGAGAGAGAGAGAGAGAGAGAGAGAGAGAGAGAGACAGCAAGATAGAGAAAGAAAGGGAGAGAGAGAGAGAGAGAGAGAGAGAGAGAGAGAGAGAGAGAGAGAGAGAGAGAGAGAGAGAGAGAGTGTGTGTGTGTGTATGTAGTGTATGACACCGCATTCTCTCGTTTCTCTTGCCGGTCGTCCGAGCTTTCTTCGGGGCATTCGAGTGTTTTAGCGGGAGATTCGTACATCGCACGCGTATGACGCGTCGTTTGTCGCGCTGCGACCGGACGCAGCAGCGCCGAGGGCGAGGGTAGTCGTTGTGGGAGAAGATGCGCATTTGAGGAGAGAGAGAGAAAGAGACAGAGAGAGAGAGAGAGAGAGAGAGAGAGAGAGAGAGAGAGAGAGGGAGAGGAAAAGAAAAAGAGAGCGAAAACAAGTCATAGTCATCATCATCGTCGTCGTCGTCATCGTCGGACGAGCTCCTCGCACAGCGGCGGCGGTGGCAGCCAGCCGCGCTTTTAATCGCCGGTTGCATGTGGGTCACGAGTTGCATTCGTCGCAGCTAACGAGATAGAGAAGGTTTACCGAGCCAAGAGGTAAGCCTGTTAACCGGCGTCCTGCGCGGACAAAGACTGATGGTGCGATGATGGCTCGAGGAGCGAGATGGATCGCCGCGAGAGAGAGGGGAGCAAGGAAACGCGGACTAATTAATGCCGTCGGGTGTATATGGAAAAACCAAAGGCCGATCGATCTTCGCGTCTTCATGTTTTCCGTACGATTGTTCAACTTCGTGAAACGCAATTCGTCTCGCCTCGCAAAGCAGACTGGCATATTTTCAGTTCGTTTTCATTTATTGGCATCAGAAGGCCAAAATAATCGCGATTTCTTTCTGACAAAACTCTCGCGTCATTCGACTCAAAGAAAAAAGGAAACTTAGTAGTGCGGAGTTATCTTTCAAATTTGTTCATGATGCAAATCATGTCAAATTCACACGCGTTGCAAAAGATCACCTTCGAAAAAATTTGTTGGCCGAAGGACACTCACTACGATCGGTTTTGATCGAAGAAACGATCGGTTAGTTTCGCCGGCGTGTAATGAGTTCCTCTCTTTCTCCGGCTCGAATATATTCCCTGTTTTCGCGAAGAAACCGATCACGCGAACCGAGTGATCAATTGTTGGGCGATAAAAATTCGCTCCTGACAAAGGAAGTAGAATAGGCGCGTCGCAAATTCTCATTCGCGGCGAGGAGGTTAAAGTCACGTGGATATAGCGCGGGGTGGCTGCAGTTTACGGTGTCCTTAACCTCGTGGAAAATCAATGTTCCTCATGTGCCGACAGCTGTACATTCCGTCACACACGCAGCCGAAGCTTTACCGCCACTTAAGTGTGGAGGCGACAAGTATATGTTGAATAATAAAGAAGACGGAAGAGAGAGAGAGGGGGGGGGAGATCGCAGTTTCCAGCGGAGAGAGAATCGCGACGATTAATTGATGAAATTATATTTTCGACAAAATCACCAGAGATAAGGACGATCGCATGGTTCTTCGCGAGAGATCAAATTCCCTTCACGCGGACGGCCATGTAGCCGTCGCGGAAAGTTAAATTTTTCATTTGCATAGTCACTGGAAATTTGAATAAAGCTCTAACGCGCGGATGAACGTCCCTTAAGATATGCAGCAGATTAAAGGCCGTTCCTTGCGGCACAAAGGGATCGGTAATGAGAACTACCGCAGTGTTTGCACAAGAATCGCCTTTCTTTCATCCGTGGTTCTTCGTGGGTTGCTTGTAGCTCGGGGGGCGTTCGCCCTATCGGATTGTTTAAAGGGAAGCATTTGTGTAAACGGTTTCTCGTCAAAGTAAATTCAGAGTTACTGCGGAAGTACCACCAGAGCGGCGGAATTTTCGCAAGAAAGGGAAAGAGAGAGAGAGAGGCGAGTTCATGCAATTAAAAAACTCTATCATTCAATTAGACATTCTCTCATTCTCCTGCTCTCTCTTTCCTATTTTCCATAGAATGAAAGAAGCTTCTTTTCTTTTGGGACAATTGTCCTTATTTCATAAACGATCTTATCTGTCTCCATTTTAATACTCATCCATTCATTCTTCCTTTGGATTATTTGGATTATCGCATCTCTCAAAGTCCAATTTATCTTATCTGATCCAATTTCATCTGATTCCAATTTATCTTTGTCCAATTTAAAAATCACGTCCCCGATTAGAAATTCCTCTTCCGTTTCGCAAGTTCAGCCCTTAATGCAACGAGATTACATCGAGAGCCACGGGCGCGTGCTTTCTGTCTCCCTTCATCTCTCTCTTCGTTCCCTCCCGTCGAAAAACTGGCGCGTATTATCGACCAGAGAGCGACTTGGCGTCCTCGACATTCGATGTGAGAAGTCGTCTCGCCGACTAGATTTCGATCCCTTTACGATTTTCACCCCTTCGCCCCCCCCCCTAACCGGCCGGCTCTTTAACCCGACTGTCACGAGGGTGACGGCGGCGGGAAAAGGAGCGCGTTTTCTCCACCGATCTTTACGCGTGTGTCATTCTCAAATCTGAACTGTTCTCTCGGCAGTCGCGGCCCGTTGTTCCCGCCGTCCCGAGAATGAATATCGCCAATTGCGACGGTGACATCTTCGCGACGGCATCCTCGACGAGGGACGCGTTCCTTCCCTGACAATTGCAAATCCCGCCGGATATCACGCCGTTTATTGCCACTTTGCACCCGCGTATTGTTACAATTGGCTTTATCTCACGCGAATTCCGCGACGTTTTCGGGATCCACTGATATAATTAATCAGTGTAATTAACGAGTTGGTCCAAGTATCAAGCGGTCGTCAAGTAACGAGGGAAATTTCCACCAACGAGAAAACCGAGCAAACTCTCAGAGATTCCTCTCGTTGATCCGCCATTTCGCCCGTCACTCTTTCTATTTTCGCGCGATAACAAATATCCTCTTCGAGATCTGCGAGTTTCACGTCGGCGGTTCAGATGGTTCAGATTTCCGCGTACGGACGTGCCCGTTGAATTCCTGCCGCGGGAGGGAAAAATATCTTGGAACAAACGCCGGCTCGCATATGGTAAATCCTGAAGTCGATCCCGTGAAATCGCTGAAAAATTGCCGCGCCGCGCATTTAATCCCGGCTTTCGCTGCGAGTGCTCGCAGCGGCGACCGCGACGGGGACGAGGACGGGGATGCGAAGGGCCGACTCGTCCTGAAATCTGCGGACGGGACATTACCGCTCGGCATTCTCTCTCCCTCCTTCGCCCTGCCTTCATCCCCCCAGGCCGATGGAATCCGTCGATATAGTCTGGACACGTGTGTGCACGGCGGCCGTAAAATCCTTATCGGGGATCGCGCTTCGCGCGTATCTACGTATGTACGGTTCCGGCTCCGCGCGCATTCTACGAGGGGTAGCTGCGACGAGACAGGATGCGCCTGTCCGTTGAACTGTGAGATATCCCAGATAAAAATTGACCCGTACATACCGATGGTATTGAATAGAAATAATCCGAGTTCTTGGTCGCCGCGTTTCCATGCGAAAAACCGCGTCGTGAGTTTCCCCCTTTTTCAATTTTTATTTGTCCAATTTCTTCTTTCGATTCTGTGTGCGAAATTACGTGCAAATTTAAATTCCTCAATCTCTCGACATTCTTCTAAATTATTCCGAATTTCTCTCAAATGTTTTAGTAGCTAAATTTCTCCGAGTAAAATCCTCTCTCAAAACGAATGAAAAAAACTGACAGCGGTAGCGAAAATCCGACCGCTCAAAGTCACGAGAGCGAATGCTCCGACCAAACTTAGAATAAATTTATCCACCAACGCAAATACTTTCTGCTCTTTGTATGAGTGAGAGACAAAATGGCGTTAATAACAACAGATTGGCGATAATTCGCCGCGATGCCCGCATCCGAAATTTACGCTCCCTCTGCGCCAGCCTTGTTTCCTCGTCGATCCACTCTGGTCGACTGGAGTGGATCGGTCTCGTTCGGTGAAATGAATACGAGATGGGGGGAGAGACGCAGCGGCAGCGGCGGCGGCATTCGATGTCTTGTACACTTCGGGAAACGTATCGCCTCGCGAGGCAATACGCATATTTGCGTACGCGTGTTGCGTCGGGACGCGTGAGGGTGCATTCGTTTACCCGAAACTCGATTTCACGGCCGCCGTAATTGAATCTCGAGAGCTACCCCGGCCCGGATATGGCTGGAAACTCATAAGGGCAATGTCGAAGGCCGGCCGGCCTTCTTCAACTAATCGGATTTCACAGGGTGGCTCGCACGGAGCGAATCGTCATCGGATACCGTCCGAACTCGTGGCAAATTTTCTAAAGAAAAGCCAAACTACCGTCTCAATTAAATCATCTTCATCTCCCATATCGATCGCGTGTCGCGACAGAGCGGAGAAATTATTTTCATTAATCGGAGGAGGTGCAGTCGGCTTAACATTGCTCGCGCAAATGCTTCAAAGGCAAAACGCTTCGGAACGTCGGACGGATTCTGGATCGGAAGATTCGCGCCATAAATTGCGGGGTGCATTTCTGAACGCGGCGAAAAATCTCACTTGGGAAACGTGCTTCTTCGCAGCTTCCTCGAAGGGTAGACGCGGATAAATTGAGTGAAGGGACCGGGAAGGTTGCTCGCGATCGCGCTCGCTCACGGAAATAGATTATCTCGGGAACAGATGTGCGAGATGCTGTTACTAATGCAAGCATCAAGGGAATACACGCCGGCCAATGTTGGTCAGCTCTCCCGCAGCGCTCTCCCTTCGTTTTAGTGGAGGACCGCTGAAAATCGCCGCGTGTCCGCGCACGTTCGACCCGGCGGCGTCGTCGATGGCGTTTTCCACCCACCGAAAACGCGGATTCCGGACTTCGAACGACTGCTAACGAGACGGCTTCCGGAGAAGCCTCCGTCCAATTATCCGTGTCGGCTCGGTAAATATTTAGTTTCACATTATGCACCCTCCGCGCAAGCAAGACTCTTACATTAGTCGCACACAAAATTACACGCGTGGGCGTAACCAACATCGTACCGTATTCCATATCGGAACTCTTTCTCCCTCCCCCCCCTCTCTCTCTCTTTATTTCTATTTGCCTAGTCCGCCTCGCCGCCAACTTTAATCGAATATATTAAAATAAAGGAGAAGTGGCCGAGGAGGCGAAGCGAGCCTCTATTTCGTCGCGAATTTTATCGAGACAAATTTTAATGAAGGCTTACATACAGGAGGAAGCTCGCCAGTTTCATCAACTCAAAGGATGAGTCATCTCACAGAGAGTCGCGAAATTATATTTAAATGATGATAAACTTTGCAGTCGACGACAATGACAGATACTTCGATCGAATGTGATACGTGCTATTTCGTTATCAATTTTAATAAGGTACATCATTTTTCGTCTTGATTAATTTAAAATAGATTAACAGTACACTATGTAATAACGAACCTGTAAAAAATTATGCGCTGCTAATAATTCGAGCGATTTCTGCAAGCTTTCAATAACAAATCCCCAGACAATGCGAGAAAAGACGTCCCAATTTTCCGAGATGTTTTTTGCACACGATGTCTTTAGACACGCGTGATTTCGCTTCTTTTTCTCCGAATTTCTATTAACACGTGTTAAGGAAAATCTAGATTATATGAAGTTACACAAAGCCAGGAGGGAACGGGTGATATATTTAATTCGTAATCCGTAACTCTGTGGAGATTTCGTATTCTCCTCTCTCTCCATTTATCTTTGCGAAAACGACGGATTCACCGTGCAGGAGCGAAGGAGACATCGCGAGAGAGGAACGGTGGTGGAAACTAAATGCTATTACACAGCAAATCTATACCCATCGAGATGCTCTTTAATTACTCAAGCTCCTAATGGGCCGCAGATAAGAAAGGATCACGAGCGTTACGATGATAAATTTCTTTCTCTCTCTCTCTCTCTCTCTCTCTTTCTCTCTCTCTCTCTCTCTCTCTCGCTATCGATACATCTAGCGATACCTTTTTTTTTTTATAGAGCCCACCTTCACCACTTAAGAGGTACCCATGGAATCGCCAAGACGGCATACGTCATGGGTACCTTCCCGGTGCACGTTCTACCCGGATGTCGGCTTTCCTCCTATCCCACTCTTAGCGAATGGATTAGGTCTGGAAGACCACATCTTTTGCGGGGGGAAGGAGGGGGTCACGAAAAGACATTCTAACATTGGAGGAGGAGGAAGCGCGTGGCCTCACGCCAAGTACTTGCTCCTCCCTTCTGTCCCAGCGATACTTTGATCGTATCTTTTTCTTTCTTTTTTCCCTTCTCTCCCTCTCTCTCTCTCTCTTTCTCTCTCATTTCAGGAAGAAAATGTGGAGCTCGGTCACCGCGGCTGGTACGGAAAATGGGCCAGCACCACCTTCGAGGAGCAAGCACAGTGCCACCTTACTTGCCGGTCACGTGTACCTACTCGGCGGTCGAAATGGAAACCTACCGCTCAAAGATCTTTGGCGATACAGCCTCGGTGAGAGAAACAACTTCATACACCTCTACGTGCACGATTAAAACTCGTATTAAAAAACATGTGCACATCGAGATCGTTAATCTCACTGCGAATTATAGTAGAATTTCCGACGTCAGTTATTATTCTAACAAAAATATAGTAGCAGCAGCAACGTGCGTGTATAAGATTCTTGAAAAATGGCAAATATATTGGCGTATATAACTTAACTCATTTCACATGATAACTGATATTCACATAATGCTTGCGAATCAACTAAGATGATACGAATCATTTTCTATTGTGTAATTATTCTCCGTGCGATCTCCGTGCGATCATAATTATAAATGCTCCAAACACTTTTCTCTCTCAATATTCATAAACGTGAATATACCTGACCATTGACGTGCACCGGCGTGTTAATTATCGAGTCTTTAGACGTCGTATTCAGGACTGCAGTGGTGTCGCGCTATTTCGAGGACGCAGAAAATCCCGAATAATCGCCGGAGCGGAGCGGCGGTATTGCTGCACGGTATTCCTCGAGTGGTGAACGGCGCTACGTTAATGCGAACATCGCTTCTGACCGGCGCCCCAACGCGTCCCATCGCGTCCCTGCGCACCCCATGGCACGAGGGTGAGCGGCGGAATTTGAATGGGGTTTCGTCGGTCTGATCAATAATGCACCGTTATTAAAGCCCACGTACATCAGGCAAATCCGCGGGCGATACTCCCACAATTACGCGGTGTTTCCACGGAGATCGGACGCGCGCACGTGAATTAATCGACCGGCTCCGACGCCGCCGGCCGTAATCGTTGGCTTATGTACGGTGGCAGGGAGAGATTTTCCTCCGAATGCTGCGCCGGAGTTACATCGTTTCGCGCGTTCATCAGCCAAACGCGGCCGGAGTTGTACTTGGCCTCCGGCTTCTCGCGAGGCGATTCATCTCCGGTCGTGTAATATCAGAGTTTTACCGTGGAACCGATTATAAGGCACGAGAGTCAAATGTTAACGCAAGCGATCGTGAGAGCAAACCGGCGATTCACGCTGCCGAACGTGAAGAGGGAGGATATCGATGAGAATTGTTTTCGACCATTCGTGTATTCGCCGACCAAATTTTATTTCGTCCTTCCATTGTTTCATTACTTTCCTTTATTTCTTTGTTACTTCATATTTTCATTGCTTTACTTCATCCCTCATCTCTCTTATCCGCATACTTCTTCCATCATCTCTCATTACATACCATTATCATTATCACTCAGCGAGTTTCTCGATCAGAACTAGCCGTTTCCCCGTGTATCTCGGCCGAATATTAAAAACAACGAAGGGGTTGATGAGCAGGAGGTCTTGGTTTTCGGAAACGAATAGCTGTCGAGAGGCCCCACTTTCGACAGCCTTGTTCGGTCAACCCGTTTGATCTTGCAAAAATATTGTGATAACTCGAGGAACCGCAGGAGAGCACTCCAGCGTTCGTTACACCCTTTATTCCATCGTCCGCAGTACTCGAGGGTAAATAACGATCGGGGGACGCAACTACGGGGTACAGGACGCTTTAAAAAGGGAAAATTTTAACTAGTGCGAAAAACAAGGAAAATTACCGATATGACCAAATTAACGATCGATTCTTTCTCTTTCTCTCTTTTTTTCGCTTCGTCTTTTCGGTTCCTCGAGAAGAAGCGAGCGAGCGAGAGAGAGAGAGAGAAAGAGAGAGAGAGAGAGAGAGAGAGAGTCAGCACTCGGTTCGCAAGGATCCGAAACGCCCTCGTTATTCGGGCTCGTGTCACGAAGGTACTTATCGAGACACAGCCTTGAGTGGCTAAATTGTTTACCGAGCACGTAGAAGTTTCCCACTCGGCCGAAAATGGCGAATCTGCCAAGCGAGCGCGAGCAGGTCGAACGTGCCGCGCGGTTTCGCGCTCTTAGATAAAAGGAGGTATTGTTTCCGCGCCAACTAGATATGACACGTGCGTCTAATCAATGTCGGGCATCTGTGCACCGTCGTTCGAGCGGCATCGAGAACACGAGCAAGTGCTCCAGCTAGCGTGTTGTATACGTTTCTTAGGGAGCTTTCGCGAACCTCGCTATCCTCTTCCGCTCTTCGTCTCTCTTTTTTTCCGTCTTCTCAATACTTTCGGATGAGAAGCCAGTCGGCGTCACGCGGATATCGCCAAATTAGACGGTGGACGTCGCGTCGGCGCGGCGACTGCCATACACAACGTTGCGTCCCTCCACTTATTTACGGGTGTGTTTCCCCTTCGAGCAGTTCCGGCTGAATAAAAAACACGCGACAGAAGTGGAGGGACAGAGAACGAGAGGAACGGAGAAATGACGCGATGTGAAAGATTCGAAATCATGAAGGGCGTGGCTGCGGATTGCACAATGCATCAAAACAGCTTCATTAATACTAAAAAACTTTACCAAAAAGTTATCACGAAGTAATTTATAGATTAAATGCAAACAAACTGGGAAGAATAAATGTTTCATTTTTGAGACTATAATTTCGCAGTGAAATAATTACAATCGGGAGAACCATTTTCTTTCTTTTTTACAATAGGTGTTACTGTAGTATTAGTGACAGCAACTTTATTAGATACATTGGTGCTAACTTCTTTTTGGTTAACTTTTTGGTTAAAGTAGCAAGGAAATATTATTATCGCTGAAAATCGCTATAATCAGTACAAATTACTGCTGATATTAATGCTAATTAATCTTTGTGAAATAATTTTAATTAATTTTTGGGAAATCGCTTTAGTTAGATACATTTGTTCTTCGTAGTAAGAAAAATGTAGAAGTACGAAAAAGAAAAGATGTATAAAAAATACGAGAATAAATATATTCCTGCAAAATTTCAATTATATCTACAAAACAAAAACAAAAAGTCCTTCACGCTACCCGTCGACCCAAATGAGATTAAATCGCGAAGAAGGCGAAATTAATTCGGTGGATAAAGACAGCCATGGGAAAGAGAGAGAAAGAGAGAGAGAGAGAGAGAGAGAGAGAGAGAGAGAGAGAGAGAGAGAGAGAGAGAGAGAGAGAGACAGAGACAGAGAGAGAAAGAGAGAGAGAGAGAGTCGACGGCCGGGGGAGAGAAATAGTAATTGGCGTGCGGTAATATATTTCTTCGAGCACTGTGCTCTCTACAATATACGAGCGGAATATTTACTCTCACCCAATATGACGCAAATTTATGCGCTCTTCGGCTCTCTTCCGAGTCTTTATAATCTCGTACTCGTCGGGGGGGAGAGCACGCGCGCCCCCGCGACTTTCTTTTCACGATAGTTCGCCAGCGAAGGGCGTCCGGACGTCTGTTTTATTAAAGAGCCACCCAAGATGAAGCCAGATTTTTAATATTCCCCCGGTAAACTTTCGCCGTTCAACGGCCGCTTCAACGAAGCCACGAGAGGCCCAGATTTTTTCTTCTCCTAACGCTCCCTTCTCCCCGTCCACCTTCGCTTCGTCAATCCTCGTTGGAATTCACCTGGATGAATTCCAGGTGAGACATATGCGCGAGCCCTCGTCGATCGTTACGCGGAGACTTGATCGAACGCGATATTTATAAGCTGCAACACGCGAGAATTCGTAATCGCGGTCCGTGCTGTGTGCGGAAAATATAACTCGAATCTTATTGCATGCTGAAACACGGTCTCTCGTTCTTTGACCGGGAACTGGGACGTGGCGTATACGTCGCCGAGGCGAAGCTGTTGTTAAAATGCAACGCGCGCGGATGCATTAGAAAAATTCGCGTGCCATCGTCCTCTCCCCCGCCTTTTCTTTCTGTATTTGCACGCGTACGCGTGTGTGTCTCATGCATTGGAAACGAGCGCACGTTCACCCCTGCCGTAATAGTCGCGCACTTACAGTCCGGTAGATAAGAGCGTCGGATTACGTTCACCTGGCCGTGCCGCGACACACCAACCCTCTCTTTGTTTTGCTTTCAGCGGAGAGCAAATGGGAGGAACTGCATCCGGGGGGTGAGAGGCCGCCGGCGCTTCAGGAGCACAGCGCGGTAGCCTACAAGGATTGTCTCTATGTTTTCGGAGGCGAGCTCGGCTTCTCCGCTGGCACGGAAACGCCGCTCTGGGTCTACAATGTTAAGGTAACGCGAAAGATAACGCCCCAAGCCACAATAAAAAACGCAACGTGCACGTGGAGTCGATACAAAAGAAATCGAACCGCTGATTGTTAATTCCGGATAACCGTGTCTCTCGAATTCTCGTCCGGAGAGAGGGAGAGGGGGAGAGAGAGAGAGAGAGAGAGAGAGAGAGAGAGAGAGAGAGAGAGAGAGAGAGAGAGAGAGAGAGAGAGAGAGAGAGAGAGAGTCAAGTTCTTTAATCTTATCATCATTTCTCGTTTATTATTCTCTTCGAGCCATGTGTATTAAAAATATAAAGATGAAGTCGACACTTTGTGAAATACTTAGCTTTTACTACATCTAGGAATCTGTCGAGATAAAATATGCATTAACCGGCAAAACGCTCGCTTTTCGCACTGGCTGTATTTCGGTACTTTTCCTGACTTTTACAAACAGCGCTCTAATTGACCTGTCGCGAGAAATTAACTGCGAAAGCGACAACGGAAAGAAATTGCGACGGATAATTAAAACTGTAAATGAAATAAAAGTCGGTGAAATAAATTCACGAAACACGAATTCGATGCGTACGCGCATAAACATGAAAAAGCAACGAGAAACATATCCTTCCGTTAAAAAAAACATTTCTGGCTTCGGTTACAAAAATACCCGGTCATTCTAGCGGCGGCATAAAATCGACTCGCGGCGCATCGCGATGCGCCCCGAGACAACAAATCGACTCAAAAAAACCCCCCGCAAAAAAACGACGCGCAACTACCGCGCTTTCGGTAAACGTTCGCGCGAGGGGACTCGCGCTCCCAATGGCGATCCTCCCCCTGCGGCGTGACGAGCCGGGGAAAGAGGGGAGATGCACGCAGGGGTGTTTCCTCTCGTCTCGCCGGCGGAGGGAGGACGGGAAAACGAGAAGAGACGGAAGAATCGCACCCTCGAGAAACCGCTTGATCGATAGCGACGTCATCGGCCGCGAGTTTTACACGGTGGCGCGACAACCCCTCCCAGCCCCCGTGCCCTGTCTGGCCGAGCCGTGCAGCACGCTCGCAGCGGGGTGGTTTCGGCAAGCGGCTGACAAGCTAGCGACGAGGGCGAGCGTGACGAGGGCGAACGTGCAAGGCCTATCCGGGCCAATAATAGCGGTTGACGGCGGATCGAGGACGCGTGGAAAGCGACGGAAGCCCATATCGCGTTATCCAGCGAGCTGTTCGCCGTTGCTAGCGCGGTATCAAGCGCTCCTCGGGGAGAATAATAGCGCGACACGAAACGACCAGCGACACCGAGGAATCGACAAACGAGAGAACGAGGAAGAGAGGAAGAGAGAGACGTCTCGTATGCGCCAAATCAATCCTCCAAAATGAACGAACAGGTTCAGGGAGAGACAGAGAGAGAGAGAGAGAGAGAGAGAGAGAGACAGAGAGAGACAGAGACAGAGAGAGAGGGGGGAGAGAGGGGGGGGAGAGAGAGAGAGAGAGAGAGAGAGAGAGAGAGATTGAGGGGAGGCAACATAAACCGGAGACAATTCGGTGCATACCGATATCGACCAAACTGAATTGCAGACAATATTTGTCGGGATAATTTGTTGAACGCTAGACGTTTATCGTTCCCATTAGGCTGGATACGCCGCGACGATCTTGATTCGCTCGGGAAACGAATTTTCAATGGAGGAATTTTCAATGGAGAAACGGTGCAGGGGAAATAACGATAGAGAACGACGGAGAAAGGTGCGGGTGAAATAAAGAAATGGAACTTTTTGATGAGGAAACGCCGCGCTACCAACGGCACGTCCACCGAGCGACACCCACCCCCTTGAGCCGAAGAGGCTCTGTACATATCGCAAATAGAAGTGAAGTGTCATTCGCTCACAAGTAGCTTCTAATCCTTTGTCCCGACACGCTCACGATTCCTCTTCTCGGACCATGGCATCTACGAGCCAACTCGCCTAGGACAAGAGGTCATTATAAATTATCGTCTCAGCTCTCTCAGCTAAGATCATTTCAGTTCTCCGGACTAAGATGTAATTATCATCTCAACTATTCAGGCTAAGATGGAATTATCATCTTTGTGTTCTCCAGGCTGCTGATGAAATTTCTTTTTATTAAATAAAGATCGCCAGCTAAGAACTTTCAAGGGTCGCTCAACAGAATATTCTTGATGGTATATATGTCAAGGTCAATCGGAGTTGTATGTTCGTTAAAACGAATGATTGTCTTGAATAAGTAAGAATCCTTGATAGATAAGGATAATAAAGGGGGAAGGAACTCGACGATGAAAATATCGGACGATGTTTCTGTATCACGTCGATATGAGGCATTTCACGATGTCTCCCCTTGAACTCAAAGGTATACCTGCAATTTAAGGGAAAGGGAAAAGCACCGACGCGTGATATTGTCAATCAAGTTTGGTGTAGTCGTTCAATATTGCTCCGCATCTCGTTTACCAAATCGAGAGGGTGCCAAGCTCTCCTTCTGTCCGATCGCTGAAACGTTTATGACCGCTACCCGGAGGGCTACCGTTCGCTTCGCCTAATCAGATCGTTCGGATCGTCCTTAACGAAATCACAGTAACGAATTCAGCTCGAAAATTCGGACAAGACGCGTTTACTTTGCGCAGAAGTTTCACGAGCGGCGATCAATGAATATTTCGTGAATTATTTGAATCGAGCGTGCTGTCGAGAGATTTTCATCATTTATCCGCGTAATTATCTCCTCTTCTACTTTTTCTTTACTATAAAATGTACGAGTCATTGGGAAGTTATTCCGAACAAGCTGATCGTGCCGCATCAAGCGCGCTTGCCAGTGAAAAACTAGCCTTTCCGTCTCGACGTTGATACAAGCGCGATCGCTGAAGAGGTTATTCTAGTCGCTGGAAGGAAGTCAACGTAACGCTCCATTTGTGTCACGAAAGCATGACTGCGGTGCATCGACATCGACGATGACGAATGAAGTCCCTCCCCGACGGAGAGTGTTCGAGTTCCCGCGACTACTTTCCTAAGTTGAAACTTTCGTCCCGTTAAGCGCACGAATTTTCCATCAATTTTGAAGGATCGTGATAGAAAATATCTCAAGATATATTAAGAATTATGTAGGTTATACGGTCAAACTTTAATGCTACAAACAGCTATTCATCGTTTTTATCTTTTACTGCTGAACATCGAGAGAAAATATGTTATTGTTCCAATAAAATTATATTTTCGGAACTAACGATATTTTTGTCAGTCTAGAAAAAGTGGTAGTGACAGAGTCGTGATAGACATATAAAATTATTATCATTAACAGTCCAGCAGCATTTATTATAAAAATGAAATTCCTGGACTATAATAATTATTTCGCTTTGCAATTATTTCACTATGCACGAACATCTTTGCTCGGAGTATTATTTTCTACGTCTCGGCATTTTTTCCTAGATTGTCCAAATTTGGCAAGATTTGCGAGGTTAACATGGAACTAAAATTTCGACTCGGTTTCGAGTTCCGGCCTCGACACGACTGGAGGACTGCGATCGATCGGCGAGCGTGCAGTCGCGGTATCAAGTCCCGGATTAATTTCAGTTCAGTTGATGATATCCCGGGAAATTATCAGTCAACGGATAACACACGCCTTTCCAAAACGGATTTATGTGATTCTCATCATTTCTGACATCTCGATCGACCGGTCGATCGAGCACAGCGCGGTTTCGGAAATTATTTCAGTCATCGTTCGCGCGCGACAAGATGAGCGGACGTGTCTCGGATATTTTCGTACAAAAGGCGTACAAAAAACGAAAAATGTAACGAGCATATCTCGAATATCGTTCGTCAAGAGGGAATCGCACGGAAAACGGCATGACAAAATGATCGTGCTAATCATTATTTGATGCCGCGGGACTAACGCTGACATTCGCTGACGCCCCCTCTAATTTCATACAATATTCAGCGGCGGCGCATCTTTCGCGGGTACTTCGAGAGCAATTTAAGTTGAGGGTAGTTTTTGGCAACAGCTGGTGTTAACAGGCTTTCTCTCCGATTCCCATATGCCCTCCCCCCTGCAAGTCGGACGAAGCTACGCTCTCCCCAAGGCGAAGCGCCATGTGAGAGAGTGCGTGGCGACATTAAAAATTAATAAAGCCACGGCGAGCGGAGTAGCACGAGAAACATCACGTGTCATCGATTTAACGGCTATTCTCTTTTCATTCGCGCGAAAACGGAGAGACGAACAAATTTTCTTTGACAAAAAAGTTGATCTCATACGAAGGAAAATTGCTAACTTCTGCATCTTTTTACAGAAAGTCGACATGTTTGTTGCCGACGTCATGTCCAATAGACTTGGTTTGTTTGTGTGAATAAAAAGATTATCCCACTCAGTTGGAGGAAAAACATTATAATATTAAAAAAGTAAGATCAATTTTACCTCGTAAGAAATCATTTTAAAGAAATCATCATTTCGCAATTAAAAATATACAAAATACAAACTGAGCTATAAAGGGGGAATGTTCCAATTAAACGACAGTGACGAACGAGTTAACACTCAACCGACTTTAAAATCAAAAATTTCTTTTCTCTCTTTTCCTCGAGTAATTTTTCTCGCCCAACGTCGCGCCCCTTTCACTGGGGTCGATTTTTATTTTGCAACTGCGACCATAAATCTCAGAGTAGTTTGTTTCGGTTTCCTTTTCTATCACAAATCTTCCATTTCCGTTGCGAGCGAGCGGATCCGATCGCTTCCGGTCCGATTCGTGCAAATCATGTATTCTTGCAAGCTCGCGTATCGTGTTCAGCGGTTTTATACATTGTACGGCTTGATACACGGCCGAGCCGCGGGAGCAGATAAAGAGAACGCATCGGCCGGTCGGTCGCGCACCGATTTCCCTTCGTCAGCAACGGCGGCGGCGGCGGCGATGGCGACGGCGGCGGCAGCCGGTTATCTCTTTCACTCGATAGGTTTCATTTGCCTCGACCACATGATTCTGACAAGCTCTTTTGCATGACGATTTTTACGTCTGCGGGGAGTATCGATCGCGAGAGCCGACCGGCCGGCTGCCTTTTTCTTCCCTTCTTGTCCGTAACGAACAACATTACCAGATACACGGGTGGAAAGCACGAGCAGATCCACACTTCGTGGCGCGTAAACATCTTCATCGCGACGTCGAGAGGACATTCTTTGCGCGTCAACACGCGCGTAAGGCGAAAGCACCAATGCCGAGACACGTAGCTGACTCTAGCCATTCTTATTATTTAGGTCTTTGAATATTTCAACTTTCGGTACAAAACATACATTTATATTCAATATATGTCTATGTATTCTGTGTTGAAAGTTGAAACATTTCGAATTTAATGCCAAAATGACAAGAGAGTCCAGAGTGAAATGCGCGGCCCGGTATTGGCGCTTTTACAGTTCGTTTCGGAGATTCAACGAGCCGCGAACATAGCTTGCATATATAGACCAAGTGCTTCACGAGAAGCTGCGAAGACTTCATTTAGAAAGGAAAGGATGGTCCGTGCCACAGGCACGTTCAATCTTTGTCTAACTTGACTTTAGCGTGCCTGCGGACAATGTGAGGGAAATACAGCTGTCTCTTACATCTTGCTTTCATAGCAAGTAATTCAAATGGGAGAGAGAACGCGGTCTACGTGCGTGCCATCGTCTCGAGATTTTTTTCGGCCGCCATCGTTGCCATGACTACTCCCGATTCATTTGTTTTTAATCGCTGGACCGTGGAGGGAACGGCCGCGCACCCCCTCCGCCGTCGCCGTGCGTTCGCCGTGTGTATTATTGAAATCCGCGTTACGAATGCGTCAGGCCGACCCGATTGGTTAAGCCTTAGGGGTTGCTCGCTCGCTCTCACCCTACCTGCCTTGCGCCTCCCTATCTCCCTTTCATTTTTCCCTCTGTATTTTGTTAAAACGCTGTCTCGTTTGCGACGGACAGCCCGCGGGGAGAGAGCAGCAGAAAACGTGTGCCATGTTGTACCTCTCGTCTTTTTCTTTCTTTCCTCTCTTTTTATGCTTTTAATTTCGCGAGAAGCCGGGCGGTGTTCGAAGCCTCAGGGTACTGTGTTCCGCAACGCGTTCTTGAATAATAAATAAGAATTTAGACGAACAAATTGAATTACTTTTCCATTTGGACCCCTTAGCTCGAATTATTCAGCGAACGTCCTGTTCTCACCGCGTTATTTTTCACGAAAGATTTTTCGTTCAATTTGCAGACAAATTTTCTTCAACGAAAATATTGATTTGAAAATATTTTCTTCAACGAAAATATTGATTTGAAAATATTGATAACATTCAAAACATTGATGCCTTTTTAATTATTAAGTGGCTCGTTCAAAAAAAAGGAAACTTTTCGCAAACCAGACTTCAGAGAAGAGTAAAGGAACATCAGAACCACCCTCTCCGATTGATTTCCGGCGGGATTCGCTTGGACGAAAGTTTCATTCGAGACTTGTCCGCAAAATTACATAGGTATGCAGCAATTTCAACAATTACAGAACTCGATAAACGACTCCTTCGTCTTTTTCACCGAGGAAAATCGCCTGCAAATTAATCGGAAATTCCGCTGATGCAAATGAACGCGATGCAAAGGTGGAGGAGCATCTATATTCCGCTTAATTGAACCTCGTTTAAATTATTCGAAATTTTCTACTCGCCTGAAAGAATCTCGCCAATTCTCGTCGATAGAGTCGTCTCTTTCGCTTGACTCGTGCCGTGTAATATTACCTATCCTCCTGTTCGGCAACGAGAAATATTCATGAGAAATATTCATATGCAACTATTCCGCCAGCGACGGCTACACTCGTTACTTCCTCCGAGCCTGACCGGTTCTTTTGATGTGCAACGACAATCACGGGTCTTTCAGCTCAGTCGGTCGGTCGGCTCGGTCGTAAACGAAACGCCGCTTTCCACATCTCTACTACGCTACGAGTGTGTATCAATGCGGGAGGAACGAGCGCGAGGGTGGCTTGCCGAGGCTGAGGGTGTCGAAAGTAATTACGTAACTCCAAGTACGCGCCTAAAGCCGACAGCTCGAGACAACCCGGCTTGTCTCGTGTTTGTGGCAAATCACGACTCGGCGTAGCGACGCCAGCGCAGTCGCTTGATTCGATACCGCTAATTTCGCGTTGTTTCTATTTTCAGTAGTCGCGCACGGAGAAAATCGCGAAAAATTCCTCGGACGTGTTTATCGGCTTCGGCACGGTTCGTTTGCACAAATTTGCGAATGTCATTCTTGTCTTTCGTTATTTAATTAAAACACGTGACGCTTGAATTATTGCTCACCTCCGCTCCGCTATTTTTTATTTTATGCCATTTACTTATTAGTAAACAATTTAACCCTTCGATCGTAAAAGAGGTAAGAAGGGCGGAATAAAGAAAGATAAATAAAAAAACAAGAGGGAGATACACAAACGGAACACGAATCGTCTAGCGAATTACGAACGAAATGAGTTTTTAATTGCTCACATACTTTATTTTTCTGTTGTTCCCGCTGTTTTCTTTTCCGCTCAGTGACTATTCGTTTATAGAAGTATTCGTCGCCGCGGTATTTCATTTTCATCATTCATAGTTTCGTAAAACACGACAAAGTCTCGTTGGAATATACGCGATTCTTCAACGTCATCGCCGCCGTCGTTTGACACGCACACTCGAATCATCCGCTAGATCGGGCGACAAATCACTTCGTGAAAGAGAGAGAGCGACGTTATCGATTTCATCGATGATACGCGTGTAAATATAAAGGACGCGCAGAGGAGAATATTCGCTCGCTCTCGCTCGCGCGACACCGTTCTCACGTGGGAATCGTTACAAGGTAAAAGCGACGGGGTAAAAATAAATGTATGCTCATGTTACTTCGCGCAATTGTACTTTTCGTAAACGTCATCGAACCAACGGTGCCGGATGATTTTTCTGGAACACTACGCGTAGCGCGGTAGTACCCTTTAAAATCTATTGTCATAATTTTATTAAAAATTTCACTCAGAGGGTCTAAACTATTTCTAATGCGATTGCATTAAAATTTGTTGCAGTTGCAATTTTAGAATAATGTTCATGCTCTGAAGTGTTTTAATAATTTAAAGGATCAATTTTACTGAACCTAAACCTTCCTTTTTTTGCCGCGATTGCGTTGAAATCTAATTCCGCGAAAATTCCATCAACTTCACTCATCGATCCTAAAGTTAACAAAATATCCCTATCGAGAGGAATTGCAGAAACTTCGTTAATATCCGTCCGTCGTTGTTGATATTTTATATTTTTATCCGCGTTAAATAGTTTTTTACGAAAATATAATAGAGAGACTGTATAGCATAGTATGATATAATATAGTATATATATCATAGTATTGTAGAATGATAGAATAATAGAGAAGATCACGATATGTAGGATATATACTGGACTCTACGGACGCACGTTATCGAGCGTCAACAATATTTAAATCTTATTCGCTAATCACTTATCTTTAAATCGCTATAGAACATATTGCCTTTGCACTCTGACTTTTCGTATCGGTAATCAATGCAATTTGTCTACATGCTACATGCACTACGTAAAATAACGCTTCGTGAATATTTGGATTTGCACTCATCATTTCGCGTCGTCCCACGACGTCCAGTCCTATCCTGATCCATCGTCCAACTTCAGAGTCAGGTCGTCGTCTCACGTCGGTTGTACTTGTCACTTCATTTGACTTCACTTCACTCGCGATTGTTTTAACGCAGGCTCGATGATTTAACGAAAAGTACACAGATGAGTTTCTGCGTTACGACTAGACACTTGCGGATCGCGAATTGTATGGAGAAAGTTGCGAATCTAATATCGCGGCGTTTTTGAAATGTCAAAAGAAAAGAAAGAAAAGTTCAATTTTGCGGGTATCTATAATCTATCAAAAAAAAAAAACGTAATTTTGTGTCTCGCGGATGTTTATATCTTATCGAAAAACGTGGTTTTGCATTTTATAAAATAAAATAATTCTATTTCACGAACGGCGCTATACTTTGTAAAAATGTAGATCCTATCGAATAGAAATTTTAACTGTTGACTTTAAGTTTGAATTCTAATTCTGATGTTAATCGATATAATATAATGAATAATACGTAAAATATTTCGTAAATTACCGATTACGATAAACTCAAAATTTTTCGCGAGCGAACTAGGTGACCGCGAATCTCTCGTGTGGTAGCACATTGCGACGTGCAACTTTAATGCACAATTTTGCTGTGCATTCTCAGCATGCACTTTAGACACGCTCTTTGGGCGCGCGATTTGGCACACCATTCTGTGATATTACACTATTTGAAACAATTACAAGGCCATAGTGAATAAATAGTTACGTCGAATATCTAGATATCTTGAATTAAAATTATAGAACAAAAATAAGAAACGTATTAAGAATCAATATCTCTGAAGCAGAATCCGATATTTTGATATTTCAGGTATCTGATAAAAAATAAATATTTCAAAAAAACGACCTCTTAATTGTTTCAAACAATATATTTCAGTGGACGACACAAAAACATACATGCAAAAATCCCACACTAAGAGGAAATTGATATTCACGACTATAGTTTTATAATAAAATAATTATAATTATATATTTGTATTTGAATTTGAAATTGATATTTATGACTATAGTTTTATAATAAAATAATTATAATTATATATTTGTGTAGTAAATATTACTATAATGTTCTCAATAATAAAAACAATATAAAAAATATAGCTGATGCCCAAAAGTGACTCTAATTTGTAATGAAATAAACCGTTCTTCCTCTCAGTGTATATGCAAAAATCTACTAGGTAAATTGCATTGATTTTAATCACGTCTCATAAATATCAAGACACCGTTAAACCCATTGTCTTAAAAATTATTCTTTTGACTCACGAAACTGCCGGCAGGACTCAGAATCGGCCACGTTCTGCTACAGATCTGAAACCAAAACATAACATCTTCGATTAAAAAATATGATACGAACATGTTAACCTTTTTTCTTCGTGATCATTATAACTCAGTGGTTTTTACTTGGACAATTATATCTTAATTTTCGATCGCGAATGGTTAAATGCGCACGACTATGAGCTTGCAAAAATAAAATTACCTTCGAGCTGATTCTGCTCGGCCCGAACCGAGTCCTTCGGTACGGCACCTGCACTCACTCCGTGTGGCCAGCAGCTTCATTAGATCTAAAATTAAAAGAAAATTATCTGATTAATTAAAAATATGGGTAAATATTAATGTATCGAGCCACAGTTAATGACTCGATACAATAGACATTTTTTTTTGTTAATAAAGACAAAAAGCGATGGTTACTCTAAAGATTCAAAAAGATGCAGTTATTGCTCCTCATGATGCTTTTAGCGCGGTAATTACGTGTGCGAAATAATAGAACACGACTCACGTGCGTATCGATCGATTGATTGAAAACAATCGGCAGCCACGCGCGGCGTCTGCCGATCCGTCGCACCTCGCGTCAAGGACTAATGTAATGATCGCTCAGCGACTCGCTGACAGCGAGTTCCGCGACCACGTGACTTTCAGCCAGTTAGATGAGTCTATGAAGGCTTTTGTTTACCCATGTGATACGCTTTAAACCACCGTTATGTTATGTTATACGTGTGAATGTATAACGCCGTATAATATTATAATATTAAACATTCTTTATTAATTTCAATATTATATATTGCACGATATTAATATTAATAGCAATATTGATTGATATTAATATTAATTATTATAATAATATTATTAACATCAATATTAATGTTATCGTATTAGTATAATGATTAATATAATATTAATGTCAATATTAATATTACGGATTATCAATATACGTTATAACGCATTCTGTTACTTATAATGCCTGACCATCCCCGTTCTTCCTTCCTTTTGATATTCAAACAAAATGTGAAAATACGTAAAAATTTCTCCACGATAACGATTGATCATGTTGACCGTCGGACTAAACGGTTTGACTCGCGTCGATATCGAGATGGACAATTGACATCGCGCGAAAACGAGGCAACAATGAAGTGACACGTCTCTTTAAAGTGAATAAAAAGTACAGCTCGCTCGCGGCGCCTTTTGCATGTTGCGCGCCTCGTTTCACGACGGGATGAAAGCTCGAGTTATGAATGTGTGTTGCAGAGTAGTCCAGCTGCAATATTCGTCATCGCCTGCGGCAATTGTTGCACGTGCTGTGCAACGCGCGCGCATAGTCAACACGGGCCGAAACTTTCGACTCGGGCGAATAAATGAATGTGCACTGTTTAGTCGGCGAAATGTTAACAACAGTTCGATTAATATTGCACGTGCAAATATATCCGTCGTATCGATCGAAACACTCGGCGATTTTTCTCGCTGCGACTTTTGTGACACGTTTGATTTGCTTGTCGACTACGTCGCGCGCGCTCGCGCGATTTAATAATTGTATATTCGCCCGATCAATACGCTATAACTTTTATCGGGACACGGGAGAAAGAGAAAAAGAAAGCGCGAGAGAGAGTGAGAGGGGGAGGGGCGGGTACATGCTGTAAATATCGTAACGAACGAGATATTTTCCGGAACTCGAGCGAGTTGCAATCGGCGAGAGAATTATAACTTCGCGTCTCTATTCAGTGGACACGATGGCGACGATTATCGCGGACCCCAGGAGTTAAAGCCGAACCTATTCAGACAGCAGAAATGGAGAGCCGCAAATTAGAGGTCTTTATCCCTTTTGTGGTGGCTGGCTCTTATTCTACATGCGGCGTACACAATCATCCGCGAAAATGCAGAAATGTGCGTGCGCGAAGAATAAAGAGAGTTCGCTTGTAATCATTCACAGAGGGGGCCCGGGGAAGGGTCTTTAAGATAAAAGATAATCCAACACAGCATCATATATGATATAATGCCAGATGTCATACATCGTATACATAATATGATCGCGTATCATATCTGTACGATAAATATATCAATATATATATTATATTACGCCGGATTAAAAAATATTTTTACAATTTCAACGGTTTCTTTTGTAATATCAATATGAAATATAATATAATACATAAGTTATGTTACATTGCACATAACATAATAATCTGAGAAATGGAATGGAATATGTAGAAAACTACCAAGCGACTTAATATTTCACGTGTCGGACGAAATCCACCTCCCTGTACATCGCGGTGAGAATTTCTAACCGCAATTACGATGACGACTTCCAGACGAACTCGTGGCGGAAAGTGAGGGCACAAAGGGGTTGCGCAGTGCCTCGAGGTCGCAGAGGCCACACCGCCCTGGTGCACCGTGGACAGATGCTGATTTACGGCGGTTACCAAGACTTACGCGGAAGCTCGCCCGAATTGTGGGCTTTTCATTTCGGTAACGATATTTTAGCTGCAGTGAAAAACTTCGCCCGAGTGCGCAACAACTCTAACTCGCTCGACGTTGCAGAGACCGAGTCCTGGCACTTGTTGTCGTCGAGCGAGAGCGGACCGGCGGCGCGACACAAACACTCGGCGGTACTGCACGGCGACGCGATGTACATCTACGGCGGCATGACGGACCTCCAGGAGAGGAACGACTGTTGGCGATGGGACGTCAACAGCGCCTCGTGGTCCATGCTGAAGAACAAACCCGGGCCTGGGCCGCTGCATGGCCACGCAGCGTGCAGACTGCCGAGCTGCATGCTGATCTTCGGCGGCGAGAGCGGCGGTTTGGCCACGAACGAGCTCTGGAGGTTTCATTTCGGTAGGTGTCGATTTCACGTGACATTTCTACATTTCTTCGTTTCCGGTGTCCATTTTTTTTTAATCGTCTATCGTTTATTTCTTGAATTATTATTAAAGAGGATATCCACATTTTTTTTATCAATATATCGCTTGAATATATCGGTCTCACTACATACATATACATGTATATACAGAGAACTCCCTAAAAAAATATGGAAAAATGTTGAAGACTTTGATGGTCAACAACAAAATGAAAATGTCAATTTTAACTTAAGTGAATAAAATTGGAGAAATAATATCGTTCCTATATTACCGAGCTTAATTAAAACAGAGATAAAACAGAGATGACCTCCCCTTCCACTGCGATATTTTCGTGAATTGGACGGTTTTTCCGAACGAGCACTTGTCCGCAGGCACGGAAACCTGGGAGAAGCTGTCCGTGCCGGGGCCGAAACCACAACCGAGAGCCGAGAGCGTCGCTCTCGCGGTGTCTGAGCTGCTGATTCGCGGCACCAACGTGGACAATCCGAAACCGCGACCGCGGGGTCAAAGGCCAAGGCTCTCGAGCAACCGGATGTCGCCGAACGAGGCGCCCGCTCGGCCGAGCTTCCTCAAGGAGATCTCGAAGCTGTCGCAGATCAATCTATCGCGACTCAGTCATCCAACCAAATGTAGCTACTCGGTACTGAGCGGACACGACGACAACGAGGAGAGCCCTCAGGAGGTACAAGGAACTAGACAATACACCGTGATTCGAATTCCGAAAGACCGAAAAAGGCGGGAAAATGCACATGCACACTCCTGTCTTCCCTTAATTTTCGTTTTCGCCTCGTTCGTCGAGACATGTCAATCGAGCCTGCGTGCAGGCGAACACGTATTATTCTTTTCAGCAAGTGGACGTCGAGGTGGTGGAACCGTCCACGGGCATGGTAAAGTCTCGCAGTGCCAACACATTGGCCAGGCGGAGACAGAAAGCGCCGGAGGGCACGCCGCGCTCGACGGCTGACGTCGTCGGCGGTGTCAGCAACGCCGTCGCCGCTTCTGGTATGACCAGAGATCCTATATCGGTGCCAAACTTTCGTGCTTTGACGTTACCAACACCTGTTCTCACGCCTGTAGAGGCCGCGCGATTAGTATTCGTAGACCCGGACGAGAACAGCGACGAGGAGCGCAAGGAGCCGCCTACGTCGAGACTGATCGAAGTGCAGGAGGAGAGGCGGTAATTACCGAGATATCACGCTTGCGATTCACACGGTCGGCCCGTTAAACGCGCAGAAAGGATGAAAAGATCTGAGTTTCAGGGTTGCGCCAATTTTGTAGCGTGATCGAATCAAATCGAATGAGGATCGAGTCGAATCAGCGCTCTGACGCGGGAATCTCAACTGCAAAATTCAGCCGACGGTAGGAAGTCGGACGATAAACGTGACCGATGACGCACTACGTAAATCGCCAAACTTTACATTTGCTTCATATAAAAGACCGAAATAAATATCGAAATTTGGCTGAGAGAGTTAAAAGAACGAAAGGAAATGAAAAACTCAAGAAAGGACAAATCTACAACCAATATAAATCTTTTTCCAAGGATCGAGAAGTTGATTTAACCGCATAGCATGGTTCGCGCAAGAGATCAGAACATGACGCAAAAATTGATCAACAAAATAACAATTAAATTAACAAAATAAAATAAACATAACTGGAAAATTTTCGGGACGGTCATTTCGCCGTGCACAACCTTGAAACTGAATTCTTTAAGCTAGACTCAAATTTCTTCGACATTAATTTCGCGCTCTTTTTTCCTCTTTGTACAACGCGTTCTCGCCGCGTCATACATATCATGTCCATCGCGTTTCTCTTCGCAGAGACTTCGCAGCGGTGCATCAAGCCTGCCAACCGACCCGCGGCGAGAGCTACAGCTCGCACCTGTACGAGGCTGCGCTACAGACGCCCAAGACCCCGACGACCACCAAGATCCCTACTTCCGCGTCCGTCCGATTCGCCGACCTCGAAGAAGGCGAGGAGTCGACGTCGGACTACGCGAGCATCGAGGCAAGGAGTCCAGGTGACCCGCTCGCAGATGACGACTGGGTATCTGGCAGGAAGTCGAAGCCGCACCGACCCATCGTCACCTCGTCAGCGATACGGGAAGGCCAATTCGGTTTCTGCAACCCGAACTACCTCGGCCTGGACGAAGCGAGGAGCCACCACCAGCAGCAGCAACAACAACAGCAACAGCAACAGCAGCAGCAGCAGCAACAGCAAGACGGCAAATACGCCAAGCTGCTTAACAGTCCGCCCGACAGCGTGCTCGAGGACGAGCCCGGCAGATCGGCCTCGCAGACCTTCGCCGAGCTCTTGGAGCTCCAAGAGATCCGGAGGGTGCCGCGAGCACCCCCCAAGAGCCTGCCTCTGGGCTCGCCCTCGAGAAGAGCGGTGAGCGCCTCCAGGGCCGAGAGGCAAAGGGCGAAGGTAGCGGCGGTGGATGTGTCCGACACGAAGACGCCCTCGTACGGGCCCGCGCCATTGTACGTCTTTTTGGTCGGCGGTAAAGAGAAGGGTCAAGTGACGGTGTTCGCGAGACCGGTCTCCCTGTGGAAGCTACAACTGGCGCCGCATATCTTCTAAGGCCATCGCGCATTCCGTTTCAATCGACAGTCGTCTACGCGCGTCAGTCGGCGATAAGGGAGAGCGCGAGATTACCGATGAGACAGCTTCGTGCTTTTCGTTGACAATGGGTTCGTCATGTTCTATAGCCCCGGCGGGAGAAGGATTGCGACAATTTCTTTCGTTCTTTTTCAACGACCTTCGCGACGGGTACTTGACGGGAGAATTGCTTTCGATAATTCTCAGAAGATATATTTTTGAAATTTGACGCTTTCAATCTGAGACTTTGAAACAAGAAACGTGTAAAGTTGCGAGTTTTTAGTTTGAATATTTTCAATTAATTTTCAGAAATTCATTTAACGTCGGATTTTCGACTCGAACATTTAGAATTTTCACGTTTTTATTGAATAACTTGCGAGATTCATCCATTAAGCGAAAGCGTATCGCAAGACCATTTCTCTTTCACCGGCTATATGTCTTGTTTTTTACCTTAGAATCATCGCTATTTATTTAATCGTTAACGACTCCGACGAGACGTGAATTTTTTATGTACGTGTTCTTTGTTCCTTCGTTCAATTTTGCGATTGTTGACTGTTCTCTTACGTTGAAGTTTGAGTTTCGTTATCGTTTCGCGTCGTGACCGCTTTCGTATGTTCTCACTCTCGAGGTCGCGAGGAATTGGAAAAATCGAAGTATCACGTGACACGCCGGACGTGCAGTTTTTTCCTTTTTTCTTGAGATGTGTCAGTGTGCAATTCAGAGGTACGCTTCGGAGAGCAGAAGCCTATCGCGAAAGATGGGTAGCCTCGCTCGGCAGAATGAGAAATATATAAAGGTCTTTACGTCTGATTTAATAATGCGCCGTGGGTAGGTAGGTCGATAGATAGACAACAGAGTATAAGCACGTATCTATAACGTAGACGTTAAATTCGCGCGAAAATTTACTCTATCGCGCCGTTCCTCCCACCGCGTTCTCGATTTAACAGTCGCGTTGCGATCTAATTCTTCATGACGACGCAAACGCGTCGTATCCGAGCAGCGCTGTCTCTCGACCTTTTTATACGAAAAAGATCGACATTAGTTTCCTCACATTAGTTTCGTGCAAAAGATTCGTCGTTTGTCTCCGTTAAATTCTGACTCGCGTAGGAAGGCGGTGATTGTGAAAATAAATTGGTAATGGCAAATCCTCCTTTTAGGCCGACATGTTTCTAACACGCCGAGAGTCCACGCTTGTTCCATTCATCAAAATTGTCAATTGTAAAAAAATACCAAAAATTATCAGATGGACCATTTTCTTGTAAAACAACAAAAAAATTAATACCTCGAAATTGAATATCACTTCGGATTTTATCTGACGGATGCGACCAAGCTTTTGCACCGACCTAACATTTTTGCCCGTAGAGAGATCGCGTTACAATACGTTGAATCATTCGCAAAGAAATATTCGTTGAATCGATACTGCTGCCGCGTGTATATGTGTGTATATGTATGGATGTGTGTATAAAACGCGCGTATTTTAAGGTGATAGCCGTGAAACGATACTTGCGGGTCGCGGGGTTCATATTGAACCCCAGCCGATTCGAGACGCGAGTGTTTCCAACATAAGTTTTGTAAAAACACAATGAATGTTTAAGCAGCAACGTACATCAAGTCAAGATGCCAAGGAGGCATATGTGTGTGTGTGTGTATGTGTGTGTGTGTGTGTGTGCGTGCGTATGTATATGTATGTGTGCCTGTACGTATGTATGTATACGTGTGTTGCATCGATCCTCCATTCTACTACCGATGAGAAAAATGTTTTATCGACAAACTGCCGCGTCGCAATCCTATTATTTATCACCATATCCGTCTTTCACTCTACGTAATAGGCGTAACTTATTTGTAAGATGATAAACCACAGACTTCCCGATTGCCAAAGCTTCGTGTTGTTCGCGGATAAAGCGTTAGAACCGGTTAGGAAAATCGACTAGCTTGATCTGCGCCCGACTGCCATCGTGATCATGACAGAGAAAAAAATAAAGAGAGACAGGGGAGAGAATGAGAAAGAAAGAACTCGACTTACGTGCGCGTAAAATATAAATTAGAGTTAACGTCGGTGCCGCAAGCTTAAGTGAATAATAGCGTCGAGGATATCGATCGAGGATTAACGGTCGATTCGCGGTTGTGTCCACTTTAGAGATTATTAAGTGATCGAACCGAGCGATTCTACTATTCTGCGCAGTAGGTAGATTTTTATAAAGGAATTTTATCGTAATCGTACTCTCGATACGAGAGAGAGAGAGAGAGAGAGAGAGAAAGAGAGAGAGAGAGAAAGAGAGAGAGAGAGAGAGAGAGAGAGATTTGTGAACTGTGACCCTTTAGCACCGAACTATCGTTCTTATGACTGAGATAGTTAAAGAGAACACGTCCGCGAAACCGACAGGCAATTTACAAACGCGTAATCAAGATAGGCATCAGTCTACATCCTTTGATAATACCTCGACAAATTAGTCCGGGAAAAAAAAAAAAGAAAAATTGCTCCCCACTGTTGTCCAGCCATTGTTTGTTCGAGCGTCTTCGAGTACTCTTTCGGTCGTACAAAAAAAAGTTCAACGAACAAAGTCTCAATTACTTCAACTGTACCTTAAAATGTGATACGATTGATTTCGAGCTATATTACGTTTATAATTTTAAGGAAACGAAGCACAAATTTTTTTCCCGCTTTCTTCTTTTGACGTATTCATTTCTTATGAGGCGCGTCAAGATCTGGGAATGATTAATGCATAGGGGAAGTAGAGAAAATGAGAAAGAGGGAGAGAGAGAGAGGGAGAGAGAGAGAGAGAGAGAGAGAGAGAGAGAGAGAGAGAGAGAGAGAGAGAGAGGGAGAGAGGGAGAGGGAGAGAGAGCGCGACGATTGTGTTCCAAGAGACTATAGTCAGCGTATGTACGTAAGCGTCCAGAGGTCTCGCGTCGGGTCGTTGCAGAATCGCGCGAATCGATGAAACCGAAAGTTTTTACCGCGATTGTATCTATACGATCGTGGATAAGTTTAGTCCGCGTAAGTGAAGCGTAATTTGTAAGTAGAACGAGACGAGACAAGCCGGGCCGTCGCCGACGCCGACGTCGACGCCGACGCCGGCGGCGCCAGAGGCGACCAAGTGGAAGGGGCGCGAGACGGAAGAGCTCTCTTGTTCGTGTGCGTAGAATTTTTATGTCCGTTAAAGGCCCGACACATGTAATCCATCCATAAGTAGCTGAGAAAGGTTGACGTGGGCTTATCATGGGCTAGATATTGAGAGATATCCTTCTTTTTCATTCGCTATCACCGAACTTCTCGCGGTGGATTTTTTGCCATCGTGGGTTTCATATCGTGCATTTCTTCTCCGTCAACACTGCCTGTCAGTACTGTCCCTCAACTATCATTTACCGTTACTAGAAGATAACCACACGCGAGGACTAACTGACGAACGGATCAAGTAACAAATAGACGATAACGAGGACTACGAAAGATAAGTTGAGTTGAGTTTCTCACAAACGCGTACCGGGCGAGTGCAATATTAGAAATTAACCCCGACATTGGGACAAGGATTAATCACGGTCTTAAACGAAAATTCATCTCGCGACGGCCTCTCTCTTCCTGCGACGACATGGAGCGGCGAAGAGAGTCGTCGCGCGAAATTTTGTACCTGCTACGATACGCAGTCGCTAGTTACGAAAGTTGGAATGCGTGAAGATAGAGAGGAAGAGATTATGAGAATGTGAGAGAGTGTGTGTGTATGAGAGAGAGAGAGAGAGAGAGAGAGAGAGAGAGAGAGAGAGAGAAAGAGAGAGAAAGAGAAAGAGGGAAAAAGAGAAAACGAGGTGTCGCCGCTACGGAAAAGGGTCTCCTGATATCTAGTCTCGAGCCTCCAGCACCCGAAGAAGGAGAATCAATATTTTCCATTTGTAGAGCTAGTCAATTACATCTCAGTGTACAAACAAAAAAAGAAGAAAAGAACTGTGAAGCTAAATGTTTCGTAATGACTTTGTCCTCGATTTGCCGCATATTTACCCTCATGTAGACACTATCATTATTATCATTCCACTATCCTCGAACGTATTTGGTTTCGGCCGCAGAGTCATCCACGTTACCGTGTATTTTAGGGGAGAAAAGCGTCCGCGACTTCGTTCCGCCGCCGACACATACACAGACATTCGTCTCAGCCAGGGCTGGGAAGAGAAACAACGATATTACACGTCAGGGCTATGAGCTAACGAGCTTGCGTCGTTTAGGAATTAAAAAAGCATGGGTAAACGCGAAGCTAGCCTGATTAGTTAGCTAACGTGTCCCCGCGCTTGCTGTGAGCTTAATAAATACGCCTCGCGTCGCCGTTGCGTTATATTATCGGCGATCATGAGAGGCGAAGTCTTTCCCGCAAAACAAAGTTTTTCCATATCATAAAGCGCAGTATTTTTCCAGAGACCAAACTTTCGAGTAGAGAGAAAGGGAAAGAATGAGTGAGAGGATGAAAGCGGGAGAAAAAGCAAGAATGTGTGTGTGTGTGTGTGTGTGTGTGAGAGAGAGAGGTGGAGAGAGAGAGAGAGAGAGAGAGAGAGAGAGACTCTTGTTCCGATTATTTCTATGTTTAATACCGAGACAATATATACGCGAGCGTGTCGCGCGGTAACGAAGCGTTGAGAATATTAACGGCCGAGTCGCATGAGAAAAATAATGTTGATAGTTTCGTAAAAAAACAGGAAGTGTGTGTGTATGTGTGTGTGTAAGTGTGTGCAATAACAAGACGTTCCTCCTGTTCCATCCATGGGAAACCAGGCGAACATGTTTCGTGCGATGTACACGCGCGCATGAGCGTTAAGTGTTACGCGTTGCTGTGTTCATTAGCTGTTTCCACCCACCCTGAGTATCGATGCGAAGGTAACGCGCGCCCCTGTACGACCCTCGGCCCTTCGGCTCTTCAGCGCGACCGATCCCCCAGATCGTCGGTCTCCGGCCAAAGTGTTTAATTCAGCCACATTGTAATTAATGTAACAATTATTAATGGGACAGTATTACTATGATTAGGAAATACAGTATGTATGCATATGTGATTCGGTAAAACACGAGAACGCGTCCACGTTCTTTATCATCCGACTTATCGCACGCACTTCCCCCTTCTCATTCTCTTTGCATTTCTTTTTTATCAACGTTATCATCGTTATCAATTTCGTAAAAAAAAAGCCAGAAGCGAACAATTTTTTCTCAGGTGTTCGCGGTTGGTATTATCGTTCTTGCTCCGGAGCTACCGGGGGACAGCTCGGTGGAAAGGTCAGTCGTACAAGACAAAAGAAACTGAAACGGTAATCTTCCAGCCGTAGCCGCTTGATTCCCGACAATAATTTACGACGAAACGTTCCGAGATGAAACGGTCAGCTAATCCTATGTTCGTTATCTCGCGATATAGCCGTGGTCCACCCTCGCAGATCTGAAACGTCACGCGTTCATAACGCTCGCAGCTACCGTCTGTATGTTACGCGTCCGAGCTAACTGGAAGCGGTTCTTTTCGCGTCAGAGAGTCTTCTCCGGTGATCAGATTATTATTACCATTATTATGACGAGCCAGGTAGTCTGGCTATTTAGTTGTGTAAGAGCAACGTATAGGATGTATAAATAACATAGGAGGGAGTCCCTATAGACATGACCTATAGACCTTCCTTCTTTTGTTTATTCGCCTTATGCATACACACTAAGAGCCGAATGAATAGTTCGAGGTAGTAAACACAAAAAACAATAGATAGCATAACGATAATATAATTCAGACGTCCGTCGGTGGAGGTCGAGCGGGATACGGAGACGCACTGAGTGCCAGAACACCTTCGAGTCAGGCTTTCGCGCAATCACCTCACACGATAATTGATTAAAAATGGCGGTCCGAATGGCTATACGCACATTCGAACCGCTGGCGGGCAGTCGGAAATTTCCAAGAGAAAGCGCACGAGGAAATTACCAACGTATCCCAGCCTAAAGCTCACCATTCAGCACCAAGAGGTATAATGGACATCAAGGGAAAGCGCACGAGATATCTTTCTCAGCTGCTGGCTCAGATCACTTAGGTCATACCGGCCCCCCTCCCCCCCCCGGAAAACGCACAAGCCCAGTCTGGTGACCAAGAAAGTCTGAATCGGTGTCGAAGGATAAACGCACGACGACACCGGTATTCGGAATCAAGAGAAATTAACTAATTGTGTAAGGGAACAATGCTCGACTCCGGTCACCCGATGAATATTAAAAAACAATGGTTTGATTAACACTCACCAACCTTCTGCACGAGCGGCGATGGCACGTCTATTTCGGGCGTCCAACAGCGACTAACTGCCTACCTCTATCGCGACATTGTTTTTATAATCCGCGTCTCTATCTTCGTAAACGTAAACACATCGTTTTCCCCACCATTGACCTCACTGTGATCGTTATTGTTTTTCAACGCTCCGAATGCCCATTTCGGATTTTCATATGCAATACTCACACCTCGTACGATATGAATGGTTAGGTATCAGAAGCAAGAATAAATTCAATATTTTTATTACAATTCTGTGCTTTTCTTCAAAGGTATACGCAACAGATCGACGGCATCCTTTAGAAAAGGAAAAAGGAAAAGAGGTGAAGAAGCAAGGAAAAAGAAAAAAGAAAAGAATATTTGTCTCACAATTGTGCCTATTTTTCCACTCAACAATGACTAGTTTTTCCAATAACACAACACTTATCGACTTTCCACAGAGTAAGGGTGCTGCGGACTAACGAGAGGTCGCAGCACCAGTTCCATCGACGCAAAAGAAAAAAAGAACTGGTGATAGAGGGTTTACAGAGTTTCACAGGCTTATATAGGGTAAACTAGGGTAAAGTGGTTATGACATTCACAATATTATTTCGAATAGTGTACGCACATGGATTATATTATAAATATCAATTATCTTTAAGGATGATTACAAAAAAACGCAACTAATCGTTATATACGCACAGCGTCGTTTCGAATTTCTTTTATATATTCTCTATTATATTCTCTCAAATATATACACACACACACAGTCTAATTTTCCTTTGAATTGTCCTTGACTTATACGATGGGGACAACTCATCTATCGGGCCGACGACTTTTTAAGAAAAGTTGAACAAAAGGGACGGGCCTGATTATCTGGCTACTTTGCGCGCTCGGCTTCTCAGAGCTGTAATTTCCAGAATTTAAGAGATATTGCTTTGAAATTTGAAATTACATTTTCAAGTACATTTTCAAAGAGTACTACTATCAATTAAGCCAAAAAAAATTTTTGAAAATTTTTGATTTTTTGAACTCTCTAAATCGTTCGCGTTTGGCGCATGCGTACTTCTTCTGTGAAGGCATCAGTCTCGTTATTTTATAGCCGCACCTCGTATAACGATTAGTTGAGTTCAGAACGCCGGCACGTTGCTATGCCTTTATAGACGCCAATTTATTTGTTTGTTTTATTTTTTCTTAATTGAAAAAATGTCAACATATCCGAAATCTCATGAAGAGCGACACCGTGCTTCAGAGCCACAAAAAAAAATTCACGGCAATCGTTTTATTAAGCAACGTGAAAGTGAAAATGTGATTTCGAGTGCATCTAAAAGAAAACTTAGCAGTGCTGATAGTCACGACATATGCTTAGGACGACATTGTTTCACCGAAAAAATCGTATTCTTAATTTTAGAAAAATTCCCTCTAAAGCTTTCTTCTAATCGAATATTGTAAAAAGTTCAGAATATTCCCCTCTAAAAGTCTTTTATTTAGAATAACATCTAAAATAAAGAAAATATTCTAAAATATATATATATATATATTTCGTCGCCAGTTGGTTGACGAACGACACTCGCGCTCGCGCATGCATAAACTATAGTCTACATATATACATATATATATACATATATATATGTAAATATATACATATATATATCTACATATATATATAGTACGCAGCTTTTATTGCGTTGTCGTATCGTGTCCTGAACGTGTCCTGAACGTGTTTCGAAGGAAGTCTAATCTAGTGATGTAGTGCTGAAAGGAGTGGAAGAAGTGAAAAAGTGGCTGCTTGAACATAATTTATCGGAATTAGTCTGCCGTTTTGAAAGTAAGTACGAATTGTTGAAAAAGTATATGAGTATTACGTAACTTAGACTGAAATGATTCGTCAAAATAATAGCGAAACAACGTTGAAACGATGTCGATGTTGTTTCGACAAACCGTTTCTGACTGAGAAGTACTGATGCATACTCAAACCTCGTCGACAGTCTATCCATCCAACAGCCGAGCGTGTGTCGCCACGTGAATACAACGTGCATTCCACGTGGATTCGACGTACTTTTTGTGAGGCTACTACTATTTATCCATGTTAGAGGGATATTCTAACTCTTATTAGAATATCTCATTAGAATATTTTCTTATACTTATATTAGAGGGAAATCCTCTCTTTTTTATAATATATACTTGGCGCGTATTTTAATGGCAAATACTCTATACTTTAGTTACTTTTCTATAATGTAGAATAAAATTTTTTCGGTGTTAGGAGGTCATACAAAACATGAACGAGAGTTTTAACTCTACGAAGTGGGGTCTTGTTCCTAAGCACTTGCATTCGGGCGCCAAAATAATTGAAATTGCTGTTTTTATTGCTGCTTGCATCTTGAATGAAAGATATTATTCAATATTGAAGATGATGAATGAATTAGAGATTAGAATTGGTCAAAATGCGAAATTTTTTGCTGAATTGTACGATGACTCACGTATCAAGAGAGGAGAGCGCCACAGCTTAAGCAACACCAAAGAGACTAAAGCAGCTCGTAGAATGGAATTGATCCAAGAAAACGAGTTCCACGGAGAAAGTGAGGGACTATTATATGTCCCTGGAATAGCTGATTAGTCTCAGATTGCTGTAAGTTTAAAAAAATTACTACTCTTCTTAAAAAAAAACTTTAGACGCGTTTTTCTCAAAACCGTATTTTTCAGTTTGGCGCCGGTGATAAAAAAAAACTACTTGACAGATTTAGTTGTTCCAAAAAAAGTTAGAAAAATTATTAAATTCTCTTCCATATGAACTAAAAAAATTCAGAAAAAAGTGTTTTTAAGTATGTTTCTTTACTAATTAAAGACAAAATTTTTGGGCGAAAATCGATTTTGTCTCTTTAAATCACTGAAAAATTATAAAAATGTTAACTTTTAGTTAATTTTTTTAGTTCATCTACAAAATATGTAATAATTAATATTTTACTTTATTTTTTTGTCAGACAAAATTACGCTCGCTATTACCGGCGCAAGCAGACACCGTGACTTCTTTTTTTATTGTCTTTTCCAGCTTTTCCTACATGTACAGAGTATCCTATTTTAAATAGGATACGGTAGAAATACTTGCAGTTCAATGTCTAAAAAATTCTTTTCTTTACTATTAAAAAAATTTTTTTTATCTTTCAAATGTTAATAAAAATGCTGTAAAAGATTCATGAATAGAATATCAACTTTAAGTTAAAAAAAAAAAATTCATGAAAAACATTTTTTTTGGCCTTCTAAACCAGGCTCCCGCCTTAAACACTGAAAAGGTTACTAAGTTTTCCTTAAATATCTCAAAAAATATAAGGTGAATAAAAAATGTTTCAAAAGTTGTTAAAATTAATTGACAGAAAAAGATGATATAATAAAAAGTTGGGATTTCCATTTAAGAAAAGTAATGATCAGTGAATATTTCAAAAATGGCGCCATCATAACCAAACTGATATATTTTTATTTTATGTCTCTCTTAAAACCATACAATTTTTGTCTGAAATGTTTTTCCGTATCTTTCATATTTTTCGAGATATTTGCCTGGGGAATTTAAAATAGGATACTCTGTACATGTAGGAAAAGCTGGAAAAGAAAAGAAAAATAAAACATCTAACGTGCGCGTTAGAACGATCGGTGATGTTCCTGCTTCGTTGCACTTTTCTCAAACGAATTAATAACCGTTTCATTTCTATTATGTTATTCATTTCGGCAGAATAGTCAACTACGGAAGTGTCGCCGTCGGCGTGAAATTCATTTAATTTAAAAAATGTCCCTTTTATACATAAAAGTGGAATGCGTAATATAATGTCCAGAATTCGAACAGAAGAATACGAGCGGCTTTCTTTGATCAAACTCTTCTCACGGCCATTGCAGCAGACAAAACCATTTCGATCAAACGACAATGCCCAAATCTATAATACAAATCTATACGGTCAATTGTTATCGTCGCTGTCCTCTGTCTCATCTTTGTCCGATGACGACGGCGGGTCTGCCTTTGCAGCAGGTCGTATTGTATACGAAAATATATTTCTTCGGAAATTGCCAAGCTATTCTTTGCAGAGGGACCCTTTAGCACAATTCTATCGTCCTAAACACGATCTATCTTATACAAGGACATCAACCGCCTACACCTCAACGCTTTAGTTATAATCCAGCAGATATTTCCTGAGCATTCGCCTGGCCGTCGCCCTTTCAGCCAGGATGATGTATTTTATAATATAAAAATTTATTTCTATGAACTTTATATAATTCTGATGATTTTCGTGAAGTTGTAGTTTTTGAAATTAGTCAAAGTTTTCAAGAATAGAATTTTTATAATTTTATAAATCTCATTTATTATAAACAAATTTCAATCGAATTACACATATTCGTGTATATTAAAATTTTTATTATGAGACCAGTTAAATAGGTAACACTCGTGTACCTGAGTAATATCCGCGTATATGTGAGTATTTGTGAATATCTAGGTAGCGCTTGAGTGGTAGCAGTGAATTTAAATACCAAGTAGATACACAGGTCAATATATCATTGTAGGAACCTAGTTTCTATTGACCTGGTTCCCATTGACAGCGCTGATGTGATTTACTGAATGTTTTCACACCCACTTGTTATCCAAAGAAATATATGTAAAAGGAACAACTTCCTGGAAGCGACATAATACAGTTGTTTACAGTTGCCTTCATCCAAACAGATTATCGACAATGAACACGAGACTTGACCCGAGTGATGCAAAATGTGGTTAAACAATTTGTTGAATGGGTCTCAAACAGCTGACGCTCCCTCTCAGAAAGGATAATAAGCGTCTCGCTCATTGCACAAATAATGACCGCAAAGTCCGAAACTGCTTGAAACGGAATCCAATCATCGTTGTCCGGAGAAAGGACTCGAGTTCGTATATCTTTTCTGCCCTTTGCAGCAATCTGACATTCATCTCTCTTTCTCTCTTTCTCTCTCTCTCTTCTGTTCTCGCTCCTACCTTTGTCACTTCTATCTCTTCCCGTCGCATAGTTTCACCATTGGCTTTTACACGTTCCGCCATATCTCAGTTGAAACACCACCGAATTAGGCGCGTCGCATTTAAAATTGATCCACATCAGGAGAAGAGACCCTTCGACCCTTCACGGCGATTTAACGATCCTTGAACCCTCATCAAAATAGAAAATAGGGAATGTCTGGCAATCGTCATTGAAGATACAGACATGCGGTTTTCTTTTGCCTTGACAAAACT